AGTAGCACTTATTTCACTTAATAATGTCCCAGAGTACAAGTGTGGCATTACCGCCAATTCAGACATGGCCAAGAAAGTGCTTCCATTAAGCGACAAACAAAAACACCTTGACCTAAGGAAAGAAAAAAAAGCAATCATGTGGTAAAATTGCTAAGACCTACATACAGTAAGAATAGATCTAAGAAAGAAAGAGAAATTCTTCCTTGTTTTGCTATCACCCTTCAACACAGGGTCACTGTATGTAAGTGATTTATTTTGTGGATTTAAATGTGTAAAATGCAGTGTGTTTAGGGTATGTTTCTATCAAAATTTTCAAGCATCCATTGGTGGTCTTTGAGCCTATCTCCACTGCCCACATATATAAAGGAGATAGCAGAACCTCTGTGAGGTGTCACATTAGCAAACCGAGTACAAACAGTTTAATACACTCATGACAATATTGAGATTTTTAAAAAGCAGAAATCATGGAGAGAGATGAAGAGGTACATGCAGTATTAGAAGGCTCACTTGTGCCAGGCAGTGGTGGTGCACACCTTAATTCCAGTGCTCAGGGGTCAGAGGCTACACAGAGAAAAAAAACAAGAAGAAAATGTAAAACAAGTAGCCTCACTCATGTAAGACCTGCTTTGCTATGGAAAGTGGCAAAATCAGATATTTTTGGAGAGTATACATAGAAACAGTACAAGTTAGGACTATACATCAAAAAATGAGTTAGCAGTTGGAGATAACACAGTATCAAGAAAGTGGATTAATATCAGGAAGAATAATTGCGTGTTCATTTGCATAGAAGAAACAGCAAAAGCAGACTCAGGATAGAAGATTGCAATGCTGTCCTACCTTTCTATTGTTCTCAGTAAAATGTAATGAAAGTCAACAACTGAGAAGTAACAACAGCAAGAAGGTACATGTAGCTGAGGGGGCTAAAATGAGTGTAGGTCTCAATGGTGACATATATCTGTGATCTCAGTGTTCCAGAGGCTGAGGCAGGATGATGACAAATTCTAGAATTTGTCGAACTTATGCTGTCTGGGGCTTTGGGGAGGGAGGAGACACTGACTAGAGCAGGGAAAGCAGAAAAGCTGGCTTAGTTTTATTTAGGATTACAAATCTATAGCAAATGCCAGCTTTCTCCTAGACACATTCAGGACCAGTTGTCACCCAAGGCAACACTAATACCCTTCATCATTGATACCCACATTTTTAATCAGTTCCATTAATTATTTATCTGTCTTTAGGTGCTTGCCATTGTTTGCAAATTCTGCCTTTACTAAAACATATTTCATACATAAGACATCTCCTTTCTGTTCTTTTGGATTGAATTTCAAAAGAGATTTTTTTCATTTTTCTTTTTAATGACTATATTATGCTTAATGATATATCTGGGTTCTGATACTAGACACTGAAGAGAGGACATAAATTCTTCCTATTGCATTTTATGACTGTTCCCCAAACCTAAGCAGAGAGGTTTCTCTCTGGTGTTTGTTCTATAATTTTATAAAATGCAGCTCTGTATTATTACTAAATGTGCAATATATAGAATTTAGGGTTTTATATTCACTGGTCTAGGACAAGAAGTCTTTGTAGGGCTGTTTGCTTGCTCGATTTTTCTTAGGATCACATTGCCCTTTCTTTTCTTTGTAACTGCAAACATCATTTGAAGATAAGTGCAGATGTCAGTTACGTCATCACTGTACAGGCTAGACTCTCACTTTGTGATCATTGTAGAGAAATATTTTCTGCCTCAAAATAATATCACTGTACAGGCTAGACTCTCATTTCATGATCATCTTAGGGAAATATTTTCTTCCTCAAAATAGTATCCATGGGACTGCAGACTCAGTAGTTAGAAGTACTTATTGTTCTTGCAGCAGATCTAAGTTTGGTTCCCAGGATCCACATGACGGCTTCCAACTGTCCTTCACTCCAGTTCAAGGCAATCTGGTACCCTTATCTGTGGGAACCAGGCACACACAGAGTGCACAGATATACATACAGGCTAAACACTTGTTCACATGAAATTAAAATAATAAGTAAATATTTTAGAACTACAATAATAATAATTCCCACTCTTCTGGAGTTAAGGATGTAGCATGAACAAGGGTTTGATACACAGCACTTTATAAAAACTAGGTGCCATGGCACACACCTGTCATTGTACTCAGGAGGCAAAGGCAGGAGGATCAGAATTTGAAGGCCATCCTCAAATACATAGGAAGTTGGAGACCAGCCCCGACTAGAAACCTTGTATCAAAATATATTTTCCAGCCATTTATTAAATATGCTACCTTTCTTAGTGTTCATGTATCAACTGATTCTCATTAAGCTTTTACCTATTTTTCTAAATACTTTCATGAACCAAAAATATCAAAGTTATGAAATTGCACCCCAAAAAAATCTTAATAAGCTCAATAGCCACGTTATCATTTACAAGACAATGAAGAGTGTCTTCCTACATACCTAGTTGCCTCACCAGGAGCAACTTCATTAGCCCTTATGGTATCACTTCGGTTTTTGTTTAGTTTTGTTTTGTTTTGTTCTGTTTCTGTTTTGACTTCACTGAAATATGCAACATTCATGTTTCAGTTCCTTTTATCCTTTCTTTTGAAATCCTTAGAAAGGGAATAAGCAGGTTGTATCAGTGTGGCCTGCCCAACAAATATCCTTGGACTGCAGCCAAAATTCCTTACTATCAGAGATTTTGCATAGCACTGATTGGAGAAGAAACACAAATAAAGATTGTGACTCAAACATTAGCTATAATGTTAACATAGAGAAGACCCCTATGGCTGGTTATAAGCCAAAAAGGCTTAAAACTGGGGTGTCAATGATCATGGGAAATAAGAAACCAGACAGATGGAGACTGCTTAGCTTTTCCCCAGTACTGATTGATCACCTTCCACTTTGCCATGCCACTGGTTTGACTCAGGCTGACTCCACTAAGCAGGCTCAGAAATACTGGGCCAGTCCAGGTAATGCCAGCCCCCATATGATTGCTCATCAACAGCCAATAACATATCCCTTGACTACAAGTCTTGATCCAGAAACACTGCCTAACTCCGACTGCTTAAGAGAAAAGCTAATCTTCAGCAGGAACAAGAGTGTTGCTCCAGTTGCTGCTAGCAACCATCAGAGGAACTGATGGGACCCTGCCTGTGGGAAAGTTCATAAAGTGAGCTCAGAATTCAGAAAACAGAAAGTTCCAGCCTGCACTCCATTTCCACTGGGCATATTGTTAAAATCCTGATTGAGCAAGCCAGTTAGATAAGATTACCCTCACCCCAGATGGGAGAACTCTTGTAGATGCTGGAAGAGTTGAAGTTGGAATTGCCTGGGGGGTTTATTACAGCAGTGTGCTTCCCATGGATTGCAAACTGATTCTAACCTGTGGTTACAAGAGCCATTCAGTCCTTACACCCCTTCTTTCCTGAGGAGCCTCTCCTAGCAACCACCAACCAAGACCACAAAAGCTCTGGGAGACATCTCAATGTGACATCGAATACACCCAGACTCTTTTCACCCAAGCCATGAAGGAACTCTTACACTCTGTAACATTTGAACTACTCTTCACTGATCTGCTTGGACTTCTGATTGATCTTATCTGTAACCCCTCAGTTTAGGAGTCTTCCCTCTTTAACACAAATGTGTCTCTGTAAAGACAACACATGCTGAGCCCTGAGATACAACTTTTTAAAAAGTAAAATGTATTTCACAAATTAAACATTTTAATGAATGCTGCCAAATATACACTCTTTGCTCCCCCCAAAGAGTCATATTCACTCTACCTGTCAATCCCATTTCCTTGCCCCTAGTATTCTTGGCCACAGCTTAAACGAAGAGAGTTCCTCAGGACTAGAACTGTATGGTGTGTTCTTTTGGTGGTGTACCTCAATTATTTTGGCTGACGATTTACATTTTTTAGTAGTTCCTTCATCATAATCCTAACTTGCTTTCCATTGTATGAGTGCATCAAAATTTGCCTCTTTCATCAGTTGAGGGACACATGAAATGAGCCCAATATTACTGATATTGTAAATAAATAAATAAATAAAGTGTCTATGGGCATTCAAGTGAAAACCTTAATGTGAACCCTTTCCAAAAAGGAGTCGAACCATACTTCCTTAACAGGTAAAGCAGACTGAAAGGAAAGATGGGATGGGATGGAGGAGAGAAGACACTGTTACCCTTGGGTCTCAGAACCCTCCTGAATGATCAACTGAGAAAAATTATATGAACCATCTAAGTAGAAAAGGCTTTGTGAAATAACACAAGCTAAAAGACAAGTCCAAATTTAAAGTAAAAATATCCGGGTAACGAAAGCTGTGGTGAGGGGTCCAGATGCACAGCAGCCGTCATCACAATGAGTTTCCTCTGCAAGTGTGTGCTCTGCCATACGCCCCGCTCCATCCTTCAATCACCACCCCCAGCCGCTGCCACTCATAAAATACCAAGCTTCCTGTGTGAATGCTATCAAAGACTACCCATGCCCCCAAGATAGTCTCAGCCAGGCTGCTACCTTCTGAACCCTGACCTCCAGAAATCCTAGGGCTGCCAATTAAAGGCAGAAGGCTTTGCTGTTGTGGTTTTTCTCTGAGGTTTTTAGAAGCACTCCACTTCCTCATCAGGACTACACTGCTGGTACCACAGTGCTTTACCATTCTCCACTTTGATGACAGCATCCCTTGAGAGGCTTGAGTGCGGAGTAGGAAGTGAGTTTCAGAGCAATATATAGGAAGTGGTTTCGATATTTGGCCATCCCGAAAGGCAAGGTGATTTGAGATGTTGGTATTAAAAACACATTTATACTTGACCAGCTCATTATACTATTCTCTTATTTCTGGAAATGCCTTGTCATTGAGGTATGAAGTTGTCAGCTGTACCAAAAATAGAAATGCCATAAACCAGAGGGCTTCTGTTTATTTCATTCATCTATCCACATATGGAGCGTGTACACTTGAGTGTATTTATTCACTGTGAAATCCATTTTTTCTCTTACAGATACCTCCATTAAAATATACAGTTCTGAAACTAAAAACATAGACAAAGTTCCAGGAATCGAAATAATTGAAAGTACGACAAAAGTGCACAAAGTGTCAAGTATGAGACGAATATTCGATTTGGCAAAACTTCGAACCAAAAGATCAGCACTTTTCCCAGCTGTTAACATCTGTCCACAGGAATCCTTGAGACAGATTTTAGCGAGTCTTCAAGATTATTATAGACTGAGAGGTAAGGACAGCAATGGTAGCCATCAGCCCTTCATTCTCTTTATCCTCTCTCTCCTACTCACCCACAGATTGTCTTTATCCCTAAACAATGCAAAGTGTCCCGTTCCTCCATGAGCATTGTAGACAACAGCCCACCAACCTGCAAAATGGTGGTGTTTCTGGGCTCTTATGATTTAAAATAATTTGTTATGCTACATGGAACCCTTGGGGCCCTGGAAAAATCATCCAAAAAAATAAGCCTTGTATAGAGGATTTAATTGTTTCTTCTTTCTGAAGTCCATTCTTGAATTTTCACATTCTTATGAAGTAAAAAGCCCAGGACAGGTACAAGGTCAGGAACCTGAGCAAGGTGACTTATGACTTAGGATTTCTTTTTCCTTCTTCAAAAGTGACATTACAGCCCATATCCTTTGTCTTTCAATAATAGGTTTGTTTATTTATTGCTGATCCAGGAGGGAAAAAGAAGCTTGAAAAGTTTAGAAACCTGGAGGCAGGGAGACAGAGAAGACACAAATTACAAATGGCTTCCACAGTGTGCAGGGTGCTACTGCACCTTCAGGCTGAGTCACGGTGTAATTTATACCAAGACAACATAGCAGGGTGCCTTGCAATTCCTAAAAATTACTAAGGAATTAAATCAACCACAACTGCCAGCAATTGTCCTGCTTATTTCATTTACTTAATATGGATTAAGAATTCACATAGCCTCAATGTAAGGGGAGGAACTTGGTCCTACCTCAATTTGATGAGCCATGCTTTATGCAAGCTCATGGGAGGCCTGTCCCTTTCTGAATGGAGATGAAGGAGGAGTATAGGGAGGGAGTGGGTAGATAGGAAAGGGGATGGGATGGGATGGGAGGGAAAGAAAGAGGGGAACTGGTTGGTATGCAAAATAAATGATAAAATATTATGTAAGTTTAAAAAAAAAAGAACCCACGTGGTGTGATTATTTGAAAGAAAATGGCCCCAAAAGGGAATGGCACTATTAGGAGGTATAGTCTTGTGGAGTAGGTGAAGTCTTGTTGGAGGAAGTGTGTGTCACTGTGGAGGCAGGCTTTGAGGTCTCATATGTGCTCAAGATACCACCCAGTGTCTCAGACCACTTCCTGTTGCCTTCTGATCAAGATGTAGCCAGCACCATGTCTGCCTGCATGCTGCCATGATAATAATGGACTGAACTTTGAAAAATTTAAGCCACCACAATTAACTGTTTTTCCTTTATAAGAGTTGCCATGGTCACAGTGCCTCTTCACAGCAATAGAAACCCTGACAAAGACACATGGTTTCTCCTTTAAAATAAAACATTGTATTTGTAGTTGGTATTCTGTCCTCTAAGTAGCTACAAAGGGTGCGATGTATAATATCTCTCTGGGCAAAGTTCCTCTTGTAAGTTGAAGTTGAGTGGACTGGCATTTCCTACTCTTACAACACCAGGTGTTGTTAGTTTTCATGCCAAAATGTGTATCTTTCTGTTCTGTTAAAAGCTGGGTTACAGGAGCAACTGGTTCAGTTCTAGCCTGTGATGGAGTGGGCCTTGTGACTTCCATGTCTACACCCACCTGTAGTGGGCACTGGGACTCAATTCATCTTAAGAGTTCCTATTGGGTTTCCACTGAGGGTTTCAAAAACATCGAGCCTTCTGTTCCTATGTGTCTAATTGTATGTGAAGGTAAAAGGTATCTGCTTTCTGACACAAGTCTTAGCCATGAGAAAATGGAAATAACTGTATCACACTCAAAAAAAAAAAAAAAAAGATCTAATCATAGACACTTCCATCCTAGCACATTCTCTCCACAGAAGTTTTAAAGTAAAATGCCTGCTGAGGGATATGGGAAGCAAGCATCCCATTCATCAGCAATGTAAGGAAAAGACAGTGATGTGTAAATTATTTATGCTGGTAGTGCCTACACATTGATCAGATAACAATGCCAACAAGTTCTATGAAGTTTGCTAATGAACAGAAGCACACACACACACACACACACACACACACACACACACACACAACCACAATTACTGTTTACACTTTTCATGTATAATCTAATTCTTTGCAACACTGACGTATATAACTCACCAAAGGTATTTGTGGAATACACTATTGCTATGACCAGATTTTGAGCTCTGAATTTTAATGTGTAGCTCTTTATTGTTGATTAGGTTTGGCTCTTTCATTCTTGTTCCCCTGAACAAAACAAAACACTGTTTTTCTCCCCACGGCGAATGACAGTCCATTATCTTTATGGCTGCCTCTGGGTGATATGAAATTTTACTATTCATCAGTGTGTGTTTCTTAAGTCTAAAAAATTGGTTCACAAAGAAACAAGAAATAAGGGCTAGCCACAAAGCTGTGTTCCTTTGATGGAGTGACCCACTTACTGCTCTCATCACTGCCATTACAAAATGATCTGCTGACATCTTCCAACAGACTCGGGGGAGAAAGCTCCCCATTCTGACATCAAATAGAAATAGTGAACTTCCTCCGCCCTCTGATGCTTAAAGCACCACAAACGAAATATATAGAGCTTTGTGTGGAAGCTTTAAGATGCTGTCCCAAAGCACAAATGCAAACAAGGAGAGTTTGTTTCTGGCAGTCTCAAGTGAAGCTCCCTCAAAGATGCCTACCCTCATATTCCCCACCATGCTGTAGCCCAAGGCTCTCCTTCTCTTTACACTCTTCGCTCTTTCTCAGTCCCAATATCAAGTCACATTTGGGGCTTTTGAAATAGCTCAGCAGGCAAAAGGAATTGCCACTAAGCCTGAGGATGTGATTTGCATCTCTAGAACCCACATGACAGAAGGAAAGAACAGACCTGATTGCTACAATTTGTCCTCTGACCTCCACACAGGTACACACACACACACACACACACACACACACACACACACACACACACACACACACACACACACACACACACACACTTCTCAAAAAGAAAACCCATTGGTTCTAGTTTTGACTAGATGCTTTTCTTGTTGCAGTGATAAAATTCCCAACTTAAGAAAGGAAGGGTCTTGGAAGACCCAGTCCATCCCTGCAGGGAAGATACTGCAGCAGGAGCAGAAGGTGCCTGATCACATTGCTCTCCCATTGGGAAAGAAGAGAAAATAGCGCTCTCTGCTCCCTTTCTCCTTTACATAGCCTAAGACCTGAGCCAATGAAATGGTGCTGCCCACATTTAGGGAGTCTCCCACCTCAGTCAAGTTTAGAAAACCTCACAGACATGCCTACAGGTGTGTTGCCATGGTGATTCTGAATCCTGTCGAGTAGATAATCATGATTAAACATCACGTTCATCCTTAATATGATGGTCCCTACAAACTGCAGTGCCCCTGGCAGATAAATCTTTAACTTCTTTGTGCTTCAAGAATAAACTGTTCTCTTCTAGGTGTCTTTAAGAAAAGCTGGTACTGATGTCTATGGGGAAAGTCCAACAAGGGAAGGGGGAGAAAAAGAATGTCACAGACTCCATAAACAAAATATAGCTTCAGTCTCCCTGTATGACAGGGCACTACCTGCAGAGATCTGTCTTGGTATGTCCTCAGGCTACAGAGCACTCAGAAAAACAAACACACACACATGCATATAAACATAGAATGCACATACACATACAAGTCTAAGAAGCCTGCAAGTTTGAGTTTAGAATAGCTGGTAAGAAAAACTCAGAATAGTTTACGCCTTTAGTTAGTCCAAGCCTTAAAATGGACTGAAAGAAAACAAAAACCAATGTGTCCAAAAGCAACATGCCCAAGGTAGTACCTATCTGGCAATGAGAAGGGACTATTGAATTATGGCCTCCCTGATATTTATGGGTATTGTCCATGAAAAGTACCAATACTAAGCCTCAAAGACAGTGACCATTTCTTTTATGTGTTGTTGTTATCTCTGAGGGCAATTCGGTGGAGGTTGAACTGAACTAGCACGTACACTGGGAGGAAAGGCAACAGCAAAAAGACATATCCCTAAAGACAGATGAAACTTGAGGGCTAGGTCAACAAGGGCAGTCAGTTTGCTCAGACTGGACCTACATTGGGGTTTGGACAAATCTGCAAATTTCCAAGTCCATGTCCTTTTTGAGTGGTGAGGAGATGGAGTCCGTGTGCTCCATGCTGCAACTGTTAGGACCGGCACTCTGATCTTTGTGGGCAGTAGAGAGGTCGCATTGCAAAGCACACTTTGTATGTGGGGCTTTCCTGTGGCTTCACTCAATGTGAGAGACAGGGTGTGTAAGTAGTAGGACTGCTACCTTACGACCTCGGAGTTACCAGGAAGAGATCGGTTCCCCTGACGATTCTGGTCAGGGGTTACTGGCTGCTGGCCTGGGATTTCATTGATCTGACATCCCCTGTGCTTTCTAAAACAGAAAGGGTAGAGAAACTCAAGCACGGCGTGGGTGGTGCGGTGGGACATAATACACAGGAGTAATATCCCAAATTGATTTTTCCTCATCTTCCTTTAATTCCTCCCACAACCATTTTTCTTTAGAAAGTCAAATGATGTCAACTTCTCCCCAAAAAGTTCCAATTCCTTCTCAATTCCCAAAATTCCTAAGCTCCCAATACCTCAAACAAAAGTAAATAATAAATAAATAAATAAAGATATTACTGACAGCGGAAGTCTGCTAGCATATCTTATTAACCTCCTACATTAACTTTTCTTCTATGTAACCCTTGACATCTAAAGTTTTAAATAATTAATAAGGTTTTGCTTTCAGTGAGCCATAAATATTGATATTTAAGATAAGAGATCATTCTGCGGTCCAGTGGTTTCTGCCATGCCCTCTGATTGCCGAGCCATTGAGTTCTTTTAACAAACAGATTAACAAGCTGTTCTTGAGAGCCGGGTGAGGGTCACGCTGGGGATGTGGCACAGTGGTTAAGTACTTTTCTGGCATTGGTGAGCTCTGGGTTCAATTACCAGCATTAGGGCTGGAGTGGGGGGAGAGGCATGAAAGCTGAACAGTGACACCAGGTTTCTAGAAAAACAAAAATCTGAATTAGGTAGTAGTATACAGTGGCAGAGCCTGCCAAGCATGGCCAATGCCCTCAATTCAAGGAGTAGAAAATGCCACAACTCCCGCAGCACACACCCACATTTCCTTTGCCTGTCTCTCTGGGTCTCATTTCTATATAATCTATGCTTATACTTTGATAACATCCCTCCCCTCCCTGTTACAAGCCTCCACGTGAACCTGAGGACCATCCAGCCATACCTTGTGTCCCATTGCCTTCCCCGTAGCACACAATGGTTTAGGTGATTAAATTTCCACAGTCTGTTATCATAATTTCTTCCCTGGCATTGTGATAAGAAACACCAAATAAAGGCAATTTAAAGGATGCATTGGTTTTTGTTTCTGTTTTTTTGTTTTGTTTTGTTTTGTTTGTTTGTCTATGTGATATAAGCTAGGGTCATCTGGGAAGAGAGAACCTAAGAAAAGCTTCTGTCAGACTGGTGTGTAGGCAAGTCTGTGGGGCATTTTCCTGAGTGATGATTGATGTGGAAGGGCCCAGCACACTGTGGGCAGTGCCTCTCTTGAGCATGTGGTTCTAGGTTATATAGGAATGTACAATGAGCAAGTCATGTGAGGAAAGCACTCCTCTATGGCCTCGGTTCAATTTCTGCTTCTAGGTTCCTGCCCAGATTGAATTCCCACCTCAGCTTTCATCAATGATGGGCTGGGAACAGGATGTATGGGCCAAAAAAAAAAAAACCTTTCCTTCCTAAGTTTCTTTTTTTTTTTTTTTTTTTTTTTTTCTTTTCTTTTCTTTTTTTATTAAATTATTAATATTTTCACATATACTTTCCCTCTCACACTCCCTCCCCCCACCACCCATCCTTCTTTCCCTACCCCCCAC